AGCCGGTTGTTGATCACGTGACTCCCGTGATGCGAAAAAAGTGTTTCCATTGCAGTTTTGCGAAAAACAACAATTTGGAAATGGCCGAAAAACCACCTCATCCTAGCGCAAAAACATTTTGTCGAAAAACGTAATTTTTTTCGAAACTGACGTGTTTCCATTGAGCAAATTTATTTTCAAAATTCTAATTTGCGCATTTTCATGGTCAATGGAAACGCAGCTAGTGTCAAAGTCAAAGAAAACATCTTTCTATTTTAGACACTTGGCATTATACACATGACTTCATACATTTTGTCACCTAACTGACAGATTTTCTTTTGAACTTGGCTCAGTAAAAGTAAAACAGGAAGTGACAAATGGGAACTCTTCAAGAAAAAGAACACCCTGGTCTTTGTTTATTGAAACAATATTTAACTCTGACACTTCATATCTGTATGATAGTGACTTGAAATAATCTATCTAAAGAAACATCCAATTCTTCTTTACAGTCTGGGTTATTAGTTATTGTAGCAACACTCTGCTCACATGCAGACATTCCCCTGTGACATCACTTCCTGTTACTTCACATGTGAATATCTCAAGAACGCTTCATCTCAGTGGTGTGAAATTTGTTTTGCAACACCTTATTAATGTTATTTTTCCAAAAATGCATTCATATCTAATACAAAAATTTGATGTCACGGGCACTTTAATGCAAATCAAGATGGCCACTAAAGCTAATCAAAAATAGCTACAGATGTTAGCTGATGTTTGATGTGTTTGTGTGCAGCATATCCTCGAGCATGCGATCATGATTTGTTTGGGTTTGCCCGATGCTTCGGAGGATGACCGGGTGTGGCGGCCATCACCGCTCCGCCGGGCCCCATCTGCTCCTCACCGTGGCAACTGTTGCCAGGGTACCTGCTCTCCTCTCCTCCGTGGCTCATCACCTCCGAGCTTCTTGATTTTTTCTCCCAAAACAAGATCAACTTGTCCCGATTTGCTTCTTATATCTTAAATCTTTCTTCAGTAAAGTGATGTCAGCCTACGTGACTGAAGTTTTCTGTGGACAAGACTCTGGACCTCCTCGATTCAGAGGAGAAGCTGGAGGGGAAAAAAAAGAGGAGTTTAGAGGAGGGTTGGATGTTTAGAGAGGAGGAAAGAAAGAAAAGAGAGTGAGATGGGAAACAGGGACAGATCGTAGATCAGAACCGTCATGATTGAGCCATCTGCTGAGAGGAGGCCGGTGAGACACACACACACATGCTCGCTCGCTCTCTCACGCACACACATTCACCAGCGTAAAGATCACCACTGCCACCTGTTGGGGAACTCATGCAGCTGCACCTGCGTCCAGGCAGGGATGATAACACGGAGCAGAGATGAGACACGTACCTCTGAGCATCCATCAATCTGGTCTGGCAGCCTTTTTGAGCCGGTGTTGAGCAGCCGACTCTGTTTGCACTGCAGGGTGTTCTCTCTGCTCTAATATATGAGCTTTATCTCCACCTACCTCCTTTTCTAAGCAGAGCAGAGTCTCAACACGGATTATGAGGCTTCTGCTTCTTTCAGAACATAGCGAGCGAGTGTGTGTGTGTGTGTGTGTGTGTGTGTGCGTGCGTGCGTGCGTGCGTGCGTGTGTGTGTGTGTTTGAAAATTTAGCCAGGACTAAGAATCTGCTCTGTAATCCTGTTGTTGCAGTTTCCCTCCCGCCTGCAGGTAAATGTGATTTGTTGTACACTGTCAGGTACTCAGGCCGGGTGATTTATTTTTATTTTTTTATGTGCAAAAACTTTTTATTGGCTCCAATTATTCTTTTCCTCTTTGTTTTTTTTCCCTCCCTTTATTTTAATTGTTAAACGATGTCCATTCCCGTTCAGCTGTCTAACCTTTAATAGATCCACAAACGGCCCGCTCTCATTGGCCAGTCGGACCATTTCATCCTATTAGAGATTAGCATACGGCTGAGTGGAGAGGGAAGTGCTCTTTATATGCTAATGAGGAGATAATGTATGCAGGGAGGACAAACCAGAGCCCCAGCGGGAGGACTCTGGGTGGCCCGAGTCTTTCTGAGTTAAAAACCACAGTAACTGTGTGGAGCTGTCTGTGTGGGAGCAGTTGATTCTATTATGTTGCATTCATTCRCCTTTAACGAGTAACAATGCCACAGAGGAAGATTTTTATTTATTTTTAATTCTGTCTGAAATAACTTTGCTAAACAATGAGGAGCTCGTTTTGCTCACTTTGAAAAAGACAATAAAGATGAGCTTTAAGTGCAGAGAGAAGATGATTTTAGTTTTATTTTCCTGTCTGAGCAAAAAAAAAATGATATGATTTAACCACAGGCCTCAAAAAGACCAAAAACTCTTCCACCTGTTGGCTCAGATTGGTTTAAATGTTGCCTTGAGCTTGTACTGAAACAGCCAACCTCCTGCATTTTAATGGTTTTAGAGGGTTCAAAAGGGTAATTCATGTCCTAAGTTTTTTGTAGTTTAGTATTAAAATGTTGATTCACAATTAATCCAGCATCATTACACATTTTTGATGCAGCACTTTTATTTTTTCTGTCTAAACTATCATGATCTGTGTTTTTGTATTTACTCAGTATTTAGCTTGTTTCAGTATTTCTGATGTCCTCCAGTTCAGTTCTGTTGGGCCACACCCACCTGCACTGAGCTCAGCTTCTCTGCACAGGTGTTGGTTATTTTTGGGTTAATTCCTTAAGCTTTACATTCTCTGGCGTTCGGTTTGTTCTGATTTGTACACTGTATGTGTCAGCTGTTGCTCTCTTTTTGTTTCTGTTTGAGCCCCACAAGTTCTGCTCTGTAGTTTTGCCACCTCAACAACATTTTGTTTTGTTCAATCATTAAATTAAGTTTATTTTAAAAAGATAAGCCTCTGCGAGAGAATACAGAAATAATAAAATCAAGAAAAAAAAGGCAAACACTGTCGGACATTTTTAGATCTTTTACACGTATAATTTCTGCTACAAAAGTCTCCTAAACGCAGAATGAATTTGATCAAATCTGATAAAGCTGAAAATGAGTTGTTCAAGCTAAAAATATTAGAAAACTAGCTAAAAGCCAAAAGTAGCAACGGGTTAGCTAAAACCTAAACGTAACAAAAGACTAACTGAAAGTCTAAAAGGGGTATCTAGAAGCTAAAAGTTGTAAATGGTTAAAGTTAGCAAAAGGGCACAAAACAGTTGAACTGTTACCAAAATCGGAAAACGCAGTGCGTGTTGTCGGTCAGCATTAACTTCAACTAAACCCGAAATGTTGCGTCCCTTGTCTCATCGCTGCAACTGAGCACCACTAACAATCATAACTGAGCTCTACTTGGTATTACCTGCTTAGAAACAGTGCTTTAACACATCCTCTTATATAATACTACGTGTAYGAAATACTATTAGCCATCTTGAATTCTGAACTCTCCCACTTTCTGACAGGGAACTGTCACCAGTTTAAATTTCCACCTTGTAAATGAGAAATTCCCACCTCCCAGTACAACTGGGCTGCAGCAGAAGTGGTGGGTGAAAATCAGTTTTCTATAAAGTAGCTCAAAGTGATACTTGAGTAAAAGTATAAGTATCTTTTCATAAAATTGCTTTGGTAAAAATTAAAATCTCTTCTAAGAATATGACTTGAGTAAAAGTCTTAAAGCATCTGATTTTTCTATTTAAGTACTTAAGTATTAAAAGTAAATGTATTGATTTTCCAAAATACATTTATTGGGATGTGACCTCTCCAAAAAATATTTTTCTGAAGGTGTGCAGCTGTGATGGATTGTGTACAAATAATACAGTATCAAAATGGATGGATATTTATACAKCTCATCCAACCACAATTAAATTCACTCTATCCAGGATTTTAGCATAGTATTTTTTTAACAATAACAAGTCAAAATGAAGTAGGAGAAATGACTTTCTACTTCTTACCTTTTAAAAAAAACCTCTTTATTCTTAAGAAAATTAGCATACTACACACAATTTTACACCTTTTGTCTCATAACTGACTATTTTCTTTCAGAGTTGGCTCAGCCGAAGTGAAACAGGAAGTGACATCAAAGGGGAACTTTTTAATATAATAAATTCCCGGGTTATTATTTATTAAAGCAATATTATCTAAAATTTAACTCCATCTATTTGATAGAAACTTAAAATAATCTAAAGAAACAGATTCTTCTTCACAATCTCTGCTGTTAGCTGTTGTAACAATGTTCTTTTTACATGCAGACATTCCCCTTTGACATCACTTCCTGTTTCTTCACACGCAAATATCTCAACAACTGTTCATCTCAGTGGGGTGAAATTTGTTTTGTAATATTTTATCAATGTTCTCTTTCCAAAAAYGCATTCATGTTTATTACAAAATATTGATATCACAGGCACTTTAAAGAAGCATACATTTATTTTAAGACATCATTACGTCTTTGAAGAGCTTGTGGGCCACTTAAAATGCTATGGCAGGCCACTTTTGGCCCACGAGCCTTGAGTGTGACACACATTCTGGGTGAAAGTAATGAGTAATAAATGCAGAAAATAAATAAAGTTTAGGAACTAAAATTGAACCTTTATTGTTGCATAACGTGGTGGTCCTCTCTGTGCCTGCAGGAACAAGGTGTGGTGGGAATGTCGCGGCCACCCGGAGCCATACCCCCTCCTCACCCGGCGGGGGGCGTCGCCTCCGGGGTGGGGCCCAACCAGGGGTCGGGTCCACCTTCGAACTACCCCGGCAACCAGCAGCAGGTGATGATGAAGCACATAATGGTGATGGAGAAGAGGATGCAGATGATGGAGCAGCACAAACAGCAGATCTTACGGGAGCAGAGGCAGCAGCAGCAGCAGCAGCTCCTGGTCGAGCAGGTGAGTTGTTGTCGTGTTGGCAGTTGTAAAGATTAAAGTCCCACTAAATGCACGTTTCATTGTTTTTACTTTGTTTCCTGGATGATATGGAGCCGTTGACCGATGCATTCGACATGATGGGGTGGGATTTTCTTTTATAACGTAGACATATAACAGTTTGTGTCTGTGTGTGTTTAGCTTCAGCAGCAGCAGCATCTCCCGAGACAGATGGGCCAAGGCCAGAGGAATCCATATCCCCAAGTCAATCAGTACCAAGGTGAGACACACAAACACATGCACTCGTTTCATCGGCATAAATCAACTTTTCCTTCAACCAGTCTAGATGAAAACATTCAGATGGATGGCTTTCAGGCCCGAATATAAACACTTGATTTTAGAGCTCAGGTTTGGCTTACCGGAGCCAGACCTCGTCCTTTCTCTCCGCCACATATCTGTTAGCACTCAGATGATCTTCATCCTCTTTCTCCCCTCTTCTGCCTTGTTCTTTAT